CGGGACCCTACCCAGAGAAGCAGTGATGCCTGAAATGGAGCCAGAGATGATGACGTGGAGCAATGGAGCAGGTGGAGACATTAGATCTAGAAAGGGAGAGCGACTGTGTGCTGAAGACCTGGGGGGTACTAGGGAAGGATTGCATGGAGGGGATTGTAACCATGGCAATGAGATGATATATCATAGAATGAATGTAAAACTAATGTTCTCCCATGTAAACTATCACATAATTCACAATAAATCATTTAAGAAAAAAAAAAAGACATACTTCACTTTACTCTGCACTTGACAATGAGAAAAACAACAGTCAGCATTCTGGGAATTGAGTGGGACAAAGTGACTGATCGGAGGTGTGAGGGGGCTGTGATTAACTGAGCCTAGAAGGGAAGGCATACACTTACCACTCACCTCTGGTAAAACTGTGGCCACAAGGGGACATGAGCCCATTGTAGCCAGCTCTTTACTTTCTAAAGGCCACCTTGTTGTTGTCGAGTCTGTTCCGACTCATAGTGAGGAGTAGCAGCTGGTGGGTTTGAACTGTCAACCTTGAGGTCCATACTGACCTTGAGGGCCAGTGCTTATCTTACAGTGCCACACCAGGACTCCAAAAAGCAACTGGAGGTCTGGAATTGTATAACCTGGAGGTCTGGAATCTTACAACTTTGAAAAGGCACAGGAGCCAAGCAAAAGACATCATGGGTGGGGTCCAGGAAGTGGCTGTTTGCTTCATCTGGCTTAAACAGGGACCACTACTAAGTCAGTAGATCTGTATTCTGACATCTCCTTTCTCATTTGATTCTTAAGAAAGACCAAAAATAGGAGGACAAGCTTGAAGGCTTGGGCTTTATTTGTTGTGAGTTATAAAAGACTGGTTGTGTCACGAACTGCACAGCATCTTAGCACAGAACCGTGTGGAGTGAACCTGGGCCAGGGTTTTAAGTGGGAAGGTCCTGGCCGTCATGCTGGGAGGCTGTAGTTCCGGAGAAGGCAGAGATAAACATGCACTTCCAGAAAACCTAGGCAAATCCCTAGAGGCAGAAAGGCAGCAAACCCATGGCTGTGGGGGGCCAGTATGAGAGTGGGAAGTGACTAAATGTGGGTGGGAAGGAATCTTTGGGAAGAGGATGATGGGAACATTCTAAAAGTAGAATGTGATCAAAGTTGCACAACTCAGCAATTGTACTAAAAATAGCATTATTAAAAAACATCACTCCAGGCTAGTGAATTTGGTGGTATGTAAATAATACTTCAATTAAGCTATTAAAAATACAAAGACTCATTTAGTTGCAGGATGAATTTAGGCATTTGAAAAAAAATTAACTAAATCAAACACTTCAGGTTTCAAACTGTTTAAGTGAGGAATGAAGTTTAACTCAGTGAGTCAAGCTCTTGAGGACATCTCCACCCCCCCACCCCACCCTCACCCTATAAGATAGCAACTTTCCTGCAAGGACTGTAGGGGACAATATTACAAATATTTAACAAGCAGAGTGGCCTGGGCACTGACCATCAGAACAGATATCAGCCTTACCACTGGAGGGGGCTGCAGTGGCCCCCGGATGTACCAGGCATTACCCCCTTTGGTTCAGAAGTGTGTGTGGGAAGAGGGGTGTTGGGGGGCCTTGGGGTGGACCAAGGAAGGCAGGCTGACACTCTTCACTAACTGACCTATTAGTAGAGTGTGGCTGTGCCCCAGGGGGAGCAGTGGCTACAAGGAACTCTTGAATGAGTAAGAGTGACACACACACGCGCCACCTCCAAGTCTGTAGAAGATAAACAAAATGCCTGTATACCACATTACAGCCTCGGAAACCCTGCACAGGGTCGCTATGAGTCGGAACCGACTCCACGGCACATAACACCACCACCGCCACATGCAGGGGACTCCTGCTATAATGCTGTAGGATCAGCACTGGACTGCTAACCACAAGGTTGGCGGTTCAAGCCCACCAGTTGCTCCTCAGAAACCCTACACTGGGTCGCTGTGAGTCGGAACTGACTCGATGACACTGCACAACAACAATCACACACAGGAGAGAATGAAGTACACACAGAGTGCTCTGTGGGGCACTGAGGCTTAGCTCTTCGAGGCACTTCACACGACGTAAAAGGTGTAGGGACGTTCTTCTCGCCCTGTAAAACACTCACCGTTATTAAGTTCGACTCCCGGAAGTGGTCTGAAGAGAAAGAGACATTGTTGAATACGACAGAGTTAATTCCTCCCTCTGGTGTTCTGTTAGCTCAAATCAACAAACTTCTGTTGAATGTCAAGTTTTATGTGAGGTGCAGTGGGAAATAAAACTGACCTAGGTTGACCACAGAGCCTGCACGTAACTGTCAGAGGCAGAAGACCACAAAACTGGCAAAGGTGCAGTCTGGCGCTGTGCGAACCGCAGGACCCTAGGGCCAGCCCCAAGGGGCACAAATCCTGGTGGTGCCACTTAATGGCCCCCTGATCTCACTTGCTCTCTGCCTCTGCCTGATCTGTAGTGTAGGGCTATCCAGTACCTGTTCTCTCAGAGTTGCTGGTGAGAGGGAGTAAAAGGTTATCTGAGAAAGTTCTCTTAGCAGAACTGGCTCACCGTGAATTCCATGCAAGTGCTGGCAACTGCAATTATTAGTAGTAATGGAAGCAAGAAAGGGGCCAGCAGAAAGGTCAGGTGGAGGGGAGCGGCTCGAGCCTATAGGTAGGTACAGCCAGAGATGGAGGAGGTCAATTTCAGAGCACCATCCTATAGAGTATGAACAGCGGACTCTTGAGGCTGGAGATGCTGTCCGAGGAGTGCCTCAGAGCTCCCTCTGGTGGCAGGATCGGAGAAATGGAGGGCATCCACCCATCCTGTTAGGTGAGGAAGTGGGATTCACATGAGTGGCCCCAGGCCACGTGCTGAAGGTGAGAAGTGGGGACAATGGTAGAAATGACTACTGTGAGAGACGAGAAAGGGGTTCATTTATGAATGAATTTAAAAGTGCTTAAAGCATTGGAGCTCTGGTAGTGTAGTGGTTACGAATTGGGCTGCGAGCCCCAAGGTCAGCAGCTCAAAACTACCAGCTGTTTCACCAGAGAAAGATGAGGCTTTCTGTTCCTGTAAAGATTTACAGCCTCGGAAACCCTGTACTTGGACGGCACATAACTTGATGGCACTTAACAACAACAAAGCATTGTGAGACAAGTGGGTTAGGGTGGTGCTTGGACCAGACAGATTTTAAAGCTAAAGTATGACAATCCATTTTTTTCACCTTTGTTCTTTTAAAACAATAACAAAAACAAAGACCGGGAGCTGAGAAAACATGGAGATTTGTTTTCTCAGACTCGACAGGTTTCTGGGGGGTTAAAGCGCAAAGAATTCTATGGAGGCTGAGGCTGAAGAGGTTAATAACCACAGAGCCAGTTCAGGGTCTGATACAAATAGTGAGTTTTCAAGTGATTTATCTAGTCCCTTTCTGTCATTTTCAAAAGAAAGAACAACCTCTCCTTATGTACTGAGTCTAATAACAGGAGACTCTGTGTCCCATCTGCTCATTGCATCATGCTGCCATCTGGTGAGTCCCTTTCCTACGTGTGTCCTTTGGGGACGGTGGCAACTGTCTCTGGCCTCTCTTCTTAGGACCCAGCAAGGAACGGAGGCTCACTCACCGGATGACAGTGAACTTGATAAACTCTGCAGCATCCAAAATCCTCCTCATTGAGCTGATTTCCAGGTAGCCGGGGGCTTTGAAAACCACTCCCGGGGGCATGCCGTCCACCACCACGCAGCCCGGGTTGAAGGTGATTTTCCTGTAGGGAACCTTCACAGGAAAATCCACTCCAATTGCCTCACCTGAGACAAGACAGGCCACAGAAAATGAATTGGCTTTGCTTTTATACTCCCTGTAATGATTTTTGGACAAACTGTCCCAAGACATTGATTACTTTTTCACAATGTTTCAGCAATCTCATGATCTCCATTCTGTTTGTTCTGTTTCCATTAATCTAGTTTCCCTTCCCCTTCTTGTCTTCTCATCTTGGTTTTAGATAAATGCTGATTGACCGTTTAAGGGAGCACATTACTTGCGGGTGACATCATTTATTTCATAAGCCAACCAATCATTTGCTTGAAAGGTACTCTTTCCAGAAATAGCTTTAGTTCTGAGTTCAGAGGCTGTCTTAGGGTGATAATCTTGGGAGCCTCTGTAGTCTCTAATGGTTTAGCAGGTCTGGACTCCTTTTGGAATTTGAATTTTATTCTATGTTTTTGCTCCAGTTCTACCCAGGGTCTCCCATTGTGTCTCTGAGCAGAACAGCACATAGTGGTAGCAAGGCACCACGTCTAGGTGTTTTTTTTTTTTTCTACCAACTTTTTTTTTTTAATGTATTATTGTGAATTATGTGATAGTTTACATGAGAGAACATTAGTATTATGTTCATCCTATCATATATCGTTTCATTGCCATGGTTACAATCCCCTCCATGCATCATCAACCAACCAAAGGGTATATCCCGCAAGCCTGATCCCCGGTCATCAGTACACAGCCCCTCTCCCTTTCTGGGTCTAGAGTCCCCAGCTGCTCCATCTCTCCATGTCATCGTCTCTGCCTCCATCTCTGGTGTCACTGCTTCTCTGGGTAGGGTCCCACTCTCCGCTCTTCTCCCTTGGTGGTCCCAGGGACCTCTGCTCCTGGACTGTGAAGTCAACCACTCCCCTCCTTGCTACAAAACGTCTTATGTTCACATTTCCAACCCTCACAGTCAGTCCTGATAACAAGTATTCACTATTGTACCACAAGAGACCTATCCCCATCTCCTTTCACCAGTCCCGCCCAGACAGATTGGATACTACTCAGTGGAGATTCTACCTTCCTTCATGCCCTCTGGATCTAAACTCCC